TTTCTTTAAGTTTCAGCTTTGCAACCATACTTCCCCCGGAATCGAAAGACACTCTTTTCCAAAAAAAGTGCCCGAAAAGGCGTATTTACCGCCGACGGAACGCTAGTTGGTATCGTTTACGGTCAGAACTGGGGCGTTATCTGATTAAGGGGATTAGGCCTTTATTTTTGAAAAAAAGCAAAATAAAAGCAAAAAACGGACCTCCACCATCGTAGAGCATCAATGCAGTACATGTACCAACAAGAATATCATCGTTAAGACCAACGCAAACACACGTAATGGGTGAAGGGCCGGTAGGCGTTGTAACACCGAAGCTAAACAGCGGACGAAATAGGTTATCGAAAACGAATATCTGTAAGAGATTTCAAAAATCATGGCATTGCAAGATGAAAAATGTCAAAAAACAAAGTCAGAACTTCCTCAGAATTCACCTTTTATAAGAAGCTAAGGTATTCGGAAGTAGCCCAAGTGGTAGCAAATGCCAGCAGCAATCATCCGCTAGCACAAGCTGTCGATAGCTCCCTCTTTCAAAATTTTTGGTCACCCAACTCCCCGTCGGCCAAGGTTTTATTTCCAGAGTGGAAAACGCGAAGAACTTTGTTCCCAAAGAATTTAATTTGTTACCAACATCTTCCGAAATTTTCCCAGGCCTTTCAGCGGGTTGGACAATCGAAAAAATTGCACTTCGAAGAAAGTAATAAGATAAAAAAGATAATAAAAATAAGGCAAAGATAAAGAAGGTAAAGGTTATAACACGGACATTTCAGCTCCGACTTCATGCCTTCCCCCAATGACTGATCAATTAGTTGCAAGTTCACTATCACTTTTACGTAGCCAAGTTCAAAACAACGTGACCAGTTCTCACGTAAGCGCACGTGGAATTTCCAACAGGGAAGCTGCTAACTCGGGAACCAGAAAAGCTGGAAAGCTGAAATTTTAGAAGCATTGTACGAAGATAGCAAAAATACCTTTTCGCATGCTGTGTCAGCAATCAAATACCTCCCATGGCTGTCCACACAAACATCAATAGGTTCCATAAATTCCGTGAAACTCATCGTCTGTAATTAGTAAAATATTATTGGCTGAAATTTGTTTCGAAAAACTTGCGGAAATCATCTAGCACCGTGATATAAAAGGATGAATTTAAAAAAAAATTAAGAAAATATACAGCCCCTAAAAGCACTTTTCCGAAATATTACCGAAGTGCAGGTCCTAAAATTGATCAGGCGACTATATTACACGTATGTCAGACATACGCACACACACACGCACACACAAACACACAAATACAAATATGCGTAGATACTACACACAAACAAACAGATGCATACACACATCCATAAACGAACAAGTACATACAAGCATACACACAAAGATGTGCACATACATATACACACATACATAACCATTCATGCATACACATACAAACATACACAGACACATACAAACATACATAAAACTACATACACACATATCCATTCATATATGTAGTTTGCTGAAATCGCATATATCTATAGCTTGATCCAGGAGATAAATGCTTTCA